GAAGCCTTTGTTTGATTACTAAGGCTTCCTTATTCAAGATGTGGAGTTAGACAATCAGAAACATTGAGTTCCTAATTTCAGTTTGAAAAAGGTGATGAAATTTAAATGTGCTTAAAGGGCCCAGCCCATGGCTGAATGGTTAAGTTCGCAGGCTCCACTTTGATGGCCCAGGGTTTCCCCAGTTCGGATCCTGGGCACGGACATGGCACCGCTCATCAAGCCATTCTGGGGTGGTGTCCCACATAGCAGAGACAGAGGCACTCACAACTAGAATATACAGCTATGTACTGGGGGTTTTGGAGAGAAGAAGAAGGAAAAATAAATAGATAAGAAAAAAAATAAATGTACTTAGAAATGGAGCTAAAATTTTGGGGGGGATTCAATCTATGATTGAGTATTAAACAAAGAATAAGCAAAAATGGCATTTTTAAGTCCACACAAAGTCTACTTGATTCATATGTAAATAAGATTTGCTCTTAACATTTCAGAAAGTTTATATTTTTTAATTTACAAGCTAAGAAAATAGATATTTTTTTCAAACCCAAGTAGCTCTAAGCAGTCTCATCTACAAACAGGCTTCCCACATCAAACAAAACCCAACTGACACAGACAGGAGAACCTTGAAAAGCAGGAGGAATTGCTGAGATGGCGGAGAGTCACCGGTGTGTGGTTAGGGAGAATGTTGGTGATCTAGGGCAAGAGGGATTTGTAAATCTAGGAGATGCAAGCCTGACAGAGAGGACACCTGCAGCCACTTGGAGATCAAAAGAAGGTGGCCGTGGGGGCAAGGTATGTCTGGGGAGAGGGAGTTCAACCATCCTCTGGGGTTCTAGCAGCCCCAGGGCAGTATACAAAAGCATCTGAAAAATGTCGTTGTCTTTGAGAGAGACCCAGAGCTTGCTTATAGAAGACCATCAGACCTGAGAAGTTCCAACGCTGGGAGGGATAACAAGACCCAATGGAGGACCCAATGATAGGATGATGAACAAAAACACCTACCGCAAAAGAGACTGCCACCCAAAGCCAGACTGGATGACTTACATCTTAGCTCATGCTGATAGAAGACAGAGGCCATCCACACAGGGATCCCTGATGCCCTGACACCCCACAGGTGGCCCTGATGCCACCTGTCAGAGAAGAGAAGACGGAGCAATTCTAAATTGCTGGAGAAGTCTCTGATGTGTCTGAGATTTGCCTGAATTGGTAAAATCAGTTAGTTAATCACTAGGTTGTTTGGGACTCTAGACACCGATTAAGGTTAGTTATAAAAATAAAGTTCATTTGACCTTTTTGCCTATCTGGAAAATCTATGTCCACATATCATAATTTTTGACGATTAGCTACTGCTCAATAAAAGTTATTTCAGTTAGAACGAATGTAGAAGCCAATCACTGATGTTAAGTATTGAGGACCATTGTCCCTGGGGCAGCATTCTGTCCAGGCTCCAGATAAGTTGTGGGTATCACTTTGATACAATCAGCATTTGGAAGCCATCCTAGGACTAGGTGAGTTGGACTTAGCTCCAACACTAACACTCCCTGGTTTAAGGACCATCCACAATGCTTGTCTCAGTTAATAAAGAGAAACACAGGATCAAACAAACCCTACATGGCAAATATGAGGAAAGCTGTGAGAGGACAATGTAGTATTTTTCAAGACAAAAGGAAATCCAGAAAGCGCCTGGTGAAAACCGGTCCTAGGTAGATACAGAAAGGCAGAAGCATCCATATTGGAGACCATCGTAGGAGAGAGAAAGTCCTCCCAACCAGCAGATGGCCCTGCAGCAACCAGTCTTGTCCATTAAGCACCCAGGAGTGTTTATCTGATGATCTCAGCATGTGCCCTGTTTAAGCTTCCCAAAAAGGAGGAAGGTCAAGAATAGTCTAAAATAAAAAGATTCTTATTAGGAGTGGGCATTTCGGAAAAAGCCATGGGATCTGAAATATAGCTCAGTTCAGAAAGCATGGGTTTGTGTCCTGTCTCTATCAGGGATGAGGCATAGGAGTTTGTACAATTCTCTTACTTCATGCAAACCTCAGTTTCCTCATACGTAAAACTGGAAAAACGATAATGATCCCTTCTTGGTAGACTTTTTCAGCTCATTGTTCAGTTAACCATTCCCTACCACCTTCCTTTTATCACTGCCCACTTTAGAGAGGAGCAAAACAGATACTCACTTCCCCAGACTACTACCGATTAAGAACAGTCCATGAGACCGGGGAAGAGTATGTGCATGCTTCTGTTAGGCTTTAGCATCCATCCTTTTTTCCCTTTTACCTTCTTTGCTCCCAGAAGTGATGCTTGCATCTGAAGCAATCACACTCTCACCATGAGACAGCAATGTGAGAACAATTGGCCAACGTAAAAAGAATGATTTAGAAGATGCTGGATCGAAGATGGCATGTTAAACGGCTGCATTGATACTAGTAACTGTCATTCTCTGGACTTCCTGTCTTGGATGAAAAATTAAACCTTATTTGTTTAATCATTATGAAGCACATTTTAATTACTTGCAGCTGAACGTATTCCTAGACACCAAGACATTTTTAAAACTGTTTGAAATTAATAAGCAATAAAAAATAACAATTTCTTGTTATTATGCTTGAAGATACATAACATACTGTAGTATATAAATCTTATTTGTTTTGCACCCAATAAAATTAAATGACACTTTTTCATGCATCAGATGAATCACATTTACTAAAAAAAAATAAAATCACATTTTTATTGCACTGCTGAAAAGAATAAAAAAGTGAATGTCTCTCATGGCTCTTGAGTCACAAGCAACACATCAGCAAAATGACGGCCTATGATGATTTTATTTAAAACAGAAAATTTATAATAAAGTCGACCTATTGGAGCCATTGGATGGAAAAAAGATATTTTGTGATGTCTTTGTATCTTTCCTCAGGGAACTTGTCCTGGCAAAGACAAAAGATAACCTTAGCAGAAGAAAAGAAACCAAAAGCGCTCTCTCCTAACCCACCCTCTACACAATGCCTCCAGAAACACTGACCACCCATGCCCAGGGATGCTGCCGCAGTGACAGGTCCAACACACCACGCGGACTCCCCCAGGGGCCTGGCTCAGCCTACTTATCCACATCATTTCCTGCCATTCCCCTCAACGCCACCTATATTCCACCCAGAAAACTGCCCAATGGTCTCTAAACAAAGAGTCCAACTCTGCTTATTTTTCCTACTGAGAATGCCCTTCTCTCAATTGTGTCTGTCAGGAAAATCCCTCTTATCCTGTAAGGACCTCCTTGTTCCTCGCTGACACTCTCTCCAGTAGAGTTTATGGATCTGTCCTATGATTCTCTTGTGATATTAGCACAATGTCTGTGTCATGGGCACCAACCACAATATGTAATGTTTATTCCATTATATAGCTCCTTCTCTCAGTTGAATGTGAAGCCAGACCCTATCCTGACATCCTAGAATTTAGGATGGATGATTACCCTCTGGTTGACTGGATTTGACTTTCCACTGGATACATTCAGGTTTATCCAAGCACCAAAGAAAGAAAGGCTACAAAGAAACCACAGAAAGAGCATTTGTGAGATTGGGAGTGGAAGTGTTCAAAACTTTCTTCTTTTTAATTATTTTAACATGCGTCTACATACTGTTTTTGTTTGCTAGTTGTGTATACTCGCTTTATTGAAGAAAGAATGTTTCTCTGTACTCTACTTATGGAGGAAACATGTATGCTTCAGCTGATCAATAACCCCCAGGATTTTCACGTAGCATGTCCTAAGAAGAGATTCAGGAACTGTCTTCCATATTTAGAATCCACTCAAAGATGCAATGGGTCTTTGATGACTAGTGGCCTCCAGGATAAATGGAAACTTGTGATCCCTAGCAACTGCTGGTTTCCATTTTTATCCCTTAGTGCTTGACTAAATACCACATGAAAATAAAAAACCTATACCAACTTTCTTAATTGAAGTTGTGTCTGATTATGGAAGCACTTAAAACATAAAAATGGATTGCACATGGCCTGCTCCTGGCATTGAATTCAGGCCACTTCCTGCCATCAATCCTTGATAGAGCAGGACCATCCAGTGCTGGGCTAGAAGTTATGATGAAATGCAGAATGGTAAGAGTATTAATTTTCAACTAACAATACTTCACTATATTCAGTTTAAAAGTATTTTCCTGGCCATTTCACTTCAACTTTGCACACAAATGCTACCAGAAATCCCACAGCACATCTAGGTATTTGAGTTTATATACAAATTAAATCTCTTCAAGAGGCTGAAGTATAATGTTCACAGATTTTTTTTTTCGACTAGAAGAGGGCAGTTGGATCCAGCCTGAAATTTTCTTAATAATTAGAACTACCTAACTAATCAATTCCTAATTCCTGTAGTCTGCAAATACAGAAACCTAAAGTCCAAAAGAACAAGGACAACAGGGCTGTGTCAGATTTTCTCAAGAATTCGTATCTGATCCAGACCACACTTTATTTGAAGCAGGTGTGCTGGCTGTTATCACTGTTGATGTTCAATGGGAATTAAAATTTTATAAAAATTACAGGTCAATGTATTGAGTATGATAAGGCTAATGAAGACAATTAGAACATAACTTAACAACCCAAAATGGCTTAATTTTAAATTACCCTTAAGGGGTGATCAAGAGGAAAGAGAAGGTATTTCAGCCCCAGGGGACTCTGTGTGACCATGCTTTCTATGTGCGCCCGGTCTCTGCTCATGCTATAAAAGTCCTCAGGGTCCCCTGGAAAATTCTAGCCTGAGTCCACATGAGCAGACCTGGGCCAGGCTCTCCTGGGTCTCAGCCTTTGAAAACGAGGTGGAGGCGGGGCAAGGGGCAGAATCAATACTGTATAGTAAGAAAACTGAGCTCTTTGGAATCACTCAGACGGATGTCAGATCTCAGCTTTGTCACTAGCTGAAATCTTATATCTCTTTTTAACATATGAAAGGACATTTTATTATTAGTCTACTCCCCAACATATTAGTGACTATACCAGCCTGCATTTTCTCAAATGGCAAACGAAGCAGGGGATAACGTTTCTCTTTGACTCAAGAGAACCTCAAAATCAGCTGTCTTTTGGAGGAACCCATTTCTTACAACACCTGCCACACTGTCCGAGGGGTACCAATGGCACTCAGCTGTAAGGGACATTTGCTGAGATGTTTATCATGGTTCTTGCTCAAGGTGTTCATTTTTTCTTCTAGTCTGTGTTTCTCAGCACTTGATCATGTGTCTGTTATTGTGCACAGGATTCGATCCCTGGCTGGGTTTGTGTGTTCATGTGGAATGTCCACTGAAGGGTGATAGAGCACTATTGTCCTGCCATCGACGTCTCAGCAAGCTCTACTTTGCAACTGTAGTCACCTGGGGGAGAAAAATAATATATATTTATGACACACATAATATAAAGCCCAGTCACAATTTATCCGCCATTTTCCCTCCTGATTGACATTAGGCGCTCTCCCCTTTCCCACGATTGCAAATGCTCTTTGGATGGGAAATACAAGTCTTAAGATATTTCCCATGGTACTGCTGCTACTGCCACAGTCTATCAGGATGACATTGCTTTTAAAATCTGCTTCCAGGCACACCAACGTTCATCCCCAGACACCTCCTCACCACAAGCCTGCCATTTTTCTCTGGAATTTTTCTCTCTTAACTTCAGGTCACACGTATGTAAAAATGGAGAATTCAATGTGAAAAGCTGTGCAAAAGCAGATGGCACCTAGTAGGAAGAACCAAAGAAAAACCATTTCGATTTCCTTATGCTCCTGAAGGCAAAGACAGTGCCAGGAAAAAATGTGTGTGGTCCCTTCCAGATATAAAAATCCATGGTTTATTTTCTAGTCAATGATGTGTTTGAACTGGGTTAGTCATCCACACGGGACTGGGGGCAGAGAATGGAGCAACTCAAATGCTTTGAAGCTTTTCTTTCAACCCAAGAAAGCATAGATGACTCAGCATCCCTCTAATAACAGACCTTACATAGTGCTTTCCTAGGCACTGCTCACTATCCTAAGAGCTTTAAGCCACATTAAATCATTTAGTCTAATGATCACTAACACACATCATAATTAATATGTGCCGGATAATGTTGTATGTGCATATGTATATTAACCCTAAATCCTCACAAACACCTATAAATTAGGTACCTCTGTTACCCCCATTTTATGCATGTGGAAACTGAGGCACAGAGAGGGCGCAGCGCTGGTTACAGAGGAGTGGAGGTGGGAGCTGTGGCATCTGGGCAGGAGCCAGGCTCTTAGCAACTGCACCTGCTGCCCTGGCTGTAGCAGGCTCTAGGTTTCATTCCTGTTGTTGGGTTGTTTTCTCTGTCGTGCTGTTTCAGCCAGTGGGATAATGCCACACACACCAGCTGCCTGAATGTCCTCCTAGCATTAGAGGTAAACATGGAGGCTGAATTTTGCAGGTAAAGAGAGCTAGCCTCTGGGGAGAATGCAAGCCTATTATCCTGGCCTCAAGGGTCATCCATCCAGTTTCGGAGCATGGCTTCATTTGAATAGGAGCACACAGTATTAGAATGGGTCCTGTTTCCTTGTAAGACTTTCAAATTGTACATTTATAAAGCAATTCTCAAACTGAGTGACATCATTCAACAATTTAGTATCTTCTGGGGATTATTAGGTGGATGTTGTGGGACTGAACTTGAAGTGAGAAGTCCCATCATTTTCCAGTTCCTCGTAAGGAGGCGCTGCTGCATCAGGCTGGGTATGAAAACCCTTGAGTCCCAACCGTGCGAGTGTCTAACCACGTGGCCTCACACAAGTCATGCACACAGCTGGGGCTCTGCATTCTCATCAGCAAGTGGTATAACGTATGTAAGATGCTTCAACTACAGCTTGCATATTGTGAGTAAACGAAGTAAACGAAATCCAAGTTGGGGTAGGCAGGGTCCCCAGTCTTGGATTTGCCCCTTTGCAGGCACTCCCTGGAGCTTGAGACTCTGCAGATATGGCCTGAGGGCATTTGATGTGCAGCCAGAGGTGGACATCAGCAGACCAGATCAATGCACAAGGACGCCACCTGGGGAGCTACACTCATGAAAATCATCCTCCTGCTGTTGCAAAGGGCTACAGTTTTCTTTGCCCCTTTCTCTATTCTTTATTTCCCAAAGTGCATGACACCAAGGGGCCCAGAAGGATTTGTGAACACACAGGGCCCTGGCAGAACGTGGCCTTTTGTGCTGCCATCAGTCAGAAGGGCTAGACCCAGGACCCCCAATTTCCTAGCTGGTGAATGCAGAGTCACCCTCAGCTCCTTGTGGATCTGATGGCCGATCCAGCTCCTCTTGGCTGAACCAGTGGAAAATGCATTTATATTTGGCAAATGCCAATATAATTGGGCTTTTTAAAATTCCAGATGACTCCTACTGCAGAAAATTAGTCGTTTAAATCCCTTATTGTGTTTTTTTTGCTCTTGAAGCTGAGCAAAGAAATGAGACCAAACTAGAGTGTAATAAAAAGTAATTCCCACTAGAATTCAGCACATCTTTAACTGCCTTAAATCTTCTGTTCATGAAACGTTGCCCAGCTAACTGCGAGAGGTCAACAGCCTGTTTCTAATTTACACCTTTTACTCTCTTCAGGAGATGGAAGGGAAAATATCCAGAAAATAATGACTGCAAAGTGGTCACGGTTCCCGCAGCCCTGCGCGATTGCCAGCCTCTAAAACTTGTTGGAGAGGAGGACAGATCTCCGTGTGCAAGGAGGAGATGAGGATCCCCAAGGACCTCGCCGAGGAAAGGAGAGCTGGCCCAGTTGGGCACCTCCGAGATATCAGAGGCACGTGAGCATGATGTCCCTCAGTCCTCTGGGCAGCTCTGGGAGACACATGAGAGAGTTCAGAGAAGCAGGACCACCACACTAATAATATGCAAATTCAATATAATGTGCAATTCCAACCAAGTCCACCTACTTCCCAAAGCAATTCTCCTGCTAGACAAACTACAGGATGCTCAGTTAAATGTGAATTTCAGATAACCCAGGTGTTTCTAGTTGCCCATAACCCAGGATACCGTTTTAGTGTAAGGATGTCCCAAATAGTGCATGGTATGTAGATATACTAGGAAATTATTTATTGTTTATCTGAAATTTCAATTGAACCTAGCATCTTATATTTCTGTTTGCTAAATCTGACAACTTTAGCACAGCAAATTTCTCCTGAAAGGAACCAAATCTTGACTATCTTCTTCTCTTAATTGGTGCAGATCCCAATTCAATATTCAATAAGAAAACTAATGTATATTTGGCAGGGTGTGTGGGACATAGCTATTTAACATTTTATTTTAGGCTTATGAGAAAGAAAGAAAAAAGAAGGAAGGATAAAAGAAAGGAGGGAAGGAGAGCAGGAGGGGAGAGTGGGAGAGAAGGAGGAAGGAAAGGAAAATTAAAAAAGAAAGAAGAAAAAAGTAAAGACTTCTTAGAACATTTCCTATTTTAAAAAACACCACCACCTCTACTATATCAGAATTTCAGACTGCTAAAAAGTAATTTAGCTTAGAACTGAAGGAAATAATGATTCCCTAGATGAGACATCTTGTTAGGAAGACAACCTGTAAAATACAGTTTTGGAATATTTTGATTTAAATATGAGTATATTTTATTAACTAAACTATAACTATTAATGCCATGTTTCTCAAACATTATCATAACCAAGCTGACCTACAATAATTAGGTGACTGTAAGTCAACTAAATTATATGCAGATAAATTCAGTGTTCATCAACTCAAAATGTACCCTACCAGTCCCTAAACATCTGGATATCTGTAAGCAACTGAAACTTTGGTGTGTTCACAGGCAAAATAATTCACTGATTTAATTTTTAAAAATACTTATCCAGAGGTTGTACTTCGGTACACACACAGTCACATTTCTCGTTAATTTCAGCAGTCATTTGACCTCTCCTGGCCTTGGCTGGTGTCTCCACATAATGAGACTTGGGCCTCAGGACCCCGACAGACCTTCTCACTCTAATATTTAATGATTCTCTGAGTCAGGCTTCAAGTGGGTAACGGCAAGTAGAAGATTTAAACACTGCGTTTCTCTGTTGAAAGGTGGTTGGCATGTACAAATATACACTATTTTATTCTCGTTTGAGCTTCCAGGAATATAAGACACCACATTTATGCTCTGCATTCAGGACTACTAACCCTAAGTAGACCTAAGGTGAGAGAGTTTGACCCATGGGGACAGTGGGTGGATATTAAATCACACCATAATCTTCTCTATTTACCTAAGGCTCATTGTATTTATTTGAAAATACTAGGATATATTCCAATGGAAACAGAGACCTGGGAAAATAGCATTTCCATGAGAGCTGACTGCACAACAATTTAGCTATGAAATCCCTTCCTTTGTCACCTTTAACTCTCACTCTGTGCACCTCTAAAGCAGAGAGGAATGACTGCACAACACTCCCATGGCATTCCTACATCACGGGAATATTTGCTGGCTGCTGGGGGCTGGCCGTATGAAAAGGCACAAGTCAGCCTTCAGTAAGCAGGGAAAGCATGGACACAGCCAAGCTCAACACCCTACAACTGGTTTTCTAACAGCCATAGAGGAAAGGGCTTTGGGAAATGAGGCAGAGAGAGCCTGAAATCTTTGGAGGAACCCAGGGATGATGCTCAGAGATGGAGACAGAAGGGATGGGGCAAACCCCAAAGGCTCAGGGGCATCAGAGATGACAGCAAAGCTAAATTGATGCCTCTGTGGTGGCACTTCAAGGCCATGGACCATGGGCTGTGCTGCTGTGTCTAGGGTGAGAATGTTTTAAAATATAACATATTAATAGAAAATTTGAGGTGCATAAGGCCAACAGATCAGGAGATGGTTGCCACTGAAAGGATAGTTTGTTACAGTTCCCAAGAGGAGGGGCATACAGCATTCAGGGGAGGGGCTCCCATGAGGCTGCACAGGGGCAGTCAGGAGACAGAGGGAGGGAGGAGTGGTGGGCAAGAGCTTTTTCCCATGGTTTCTGTAGGAAGGAACAGGTGAGGCAGGATATACAGGAATAGGGCTGGCTAGTTTGAACAATTTCAGTGGGCTCTGGGGCACAGAGGCTGTCCTGAATTGTCTCGTCCCTGGTCCTGGGTGATTAGGGGAGGGGATAGTGGGCCTTTTGTCCACTGCACGGTCATCACCTGAGCAGCTTTTATGAAAGGAAATGGGCACAGCATTCCTAGAGGAAGGCATGGGCAGGGTGATTGTCCTTGGGAGGGGAAGGTCCTACCTGGTCTAACAGGGTCCAGCAGAGGCTCAGTTCTTGAAGCACACACCCAATTCTCCACAATTCTCTGGGGTATGCATGCAGCTCTGTGAGACCCCCAGGCCAATGGAAACATTCCTCTGTACTTCTGAGGTACCCAACATCTCATCGTTCATGAGCTTGCTGCACGGGTGGAAAAGAAAGATGAAGATAACTGTCTTGCCTTCTGCCCTTATCACCTCCACCTCCCAGAAAGGAGAGGACTTGGTGCACCTAAGGGCCACCAAAAAAGGCACAGGGGAAGGAGGCAGAATTCTCATCGGAAAGCAGGGGATAGAGTGTTAATATCCCCTCAAACTCCTTGAATTAACTGCCACATCTCCACAAAAGGCTTCTATAGGTCACCTTGACCCATGAAAACTTACACGTCAGTGAACCCCAGGTTTAAAGGATTTTCAGCATTCCCCACCCAGCAGAACAAAATTTTCTCACTGAGCAACTGATAATTTCTTGCTGTGGAACACCAATTTATTCTTGCTATTGCTGAAAAACATTATGTAACTGAAAAGTTAGGACATTAGGCAAAAATTTAAATGTCCACAGAAGTATGATTGTCCAAAAGATGCTGGCTTTTGAGAAAGCAAAGCTCACCAGTGCAAGGATGGGAATGCTGTTAGGGGCTGGATCCTGTCCCCAAAAATCCACATGTTGAAGTCCTACCCCCAGCACCTCAGAATGAGACAGTATTTGGAGACAGGGTCTTTCAAGTGAGGTCACAGAGTGGGCCCTAATCCAGTCTGACTTGTGTCCTCGTAAAAAAAGGGAAAGTTGGACACAGATGCAGACATAGAAGGAGGGCAGTGTGAAGAGACACAGGGGAAAGACAGGCATGTACAAGGCAAGGAGAGAGGCCTGGAAGAGATCTTCCCTCATGGCCCTCAGGAGGAACCAATCCTGCTCATACCTTGAACTTGGACTTCCAGCCTCCAGAACCATGAGAGAATACATTTCTATGGTTTAAGCCACCCAGTCTGTGGTCCTTTGTTACAGCAGCCGTAGCAAACTCGTACAGATGCGTATCAAACATACAGGACACTCTTTTACCTTCACTCACTCAAATATGTAATATCTCATTCCAAAACTATGGAATATGATAGGTGGGCATTGCATAGTAAAATTTGTGGGAAAGAGTGGCCTATGAAACAAGTTTGTTCTGTAAGATAAAATGGTTTTAAATGTAGATTTATTAATTAAGTCAGATTTCAGAGCCTTTATTCCAGCATTATGATTGTCGATTAAGCGAGACAGCGTTGACACAGCGACACAAAATAAACTCTCAAGTGATTTCTCAGATATCACCAAATATCTAAATATTAGCCATTGCATAGATAAGCTTTTGCTAATCATAATATTCCATATTTGATTATACTCATTGGCTCACTCATTAAGAGGAAGAAGTGTCTTTATGGACATTTGTGCAGAGGGAGAAAACCGTGGAAGAGAAGCAGTTAAGTTCCTCAACACCAAAAAAAAATTTACAGATGGGAAAACTGGTGCACATCCAAGTAAGCTGAGCTATGTCACTTGGGAACCCACCAATGATACAATATTAAGATTACAAAGTTTGTATTTTTTCACAATTATGAAGCTGTTTTTAAAAAATGTCCTCCAGTGGAAGGACAAAATATATAGAACTAATGAAGGCACACATAGCGTTGGAATACTAGAATAAATATCGGTATTGACTGACTTTTCCTCTAGTGTTCTTAGTTTGGGGTGAGAAGAATAACTTTTATAAGATGTTCTATGGCGAGAGCTCTCCTCCTGGAGTCTTTTCAGAATGAAGCGTTGTCGAAGAACCTGCCAAACAAACAGCTGTGAGGCTCACACAGTGGACGGATATGGATATTGTTGGAAGGAAACACGTGGGAACCATCTCCAAAGCACTTCTAAAGAGTCATTCACATTAAAGCGATAAAATATTCACCATAAGCCTAAGAAGGTACAGTCGTGGTGATACAATCTCTTTTGTTTGGCCACACACTGAACGCGAGGGTGTTCAGGTGGATGGTGCGGCCCTGAAGTCCTGCTCCACACGATCCCGGACCGCGTGTGAGCCAAAACATGCGCTGCACGTTGACCGACGTGGGCCGCTAATTGTGCAGACCGTAATGCTCAGAGAACAGCATCCATCACACCCTGCTTTTGCCATCTCTGTTAGGTGAGCTCCCAGACAAAACTTTCACCTGGTCAAGGAAGAAGAGAGCTCAGGAAATAATGATGAGGGCTAAGCATCCGACACAACTGTCCTCCCTCACATAGGAGGACTGGCTTTTAAAGAGGAACTTTGGTCTCTCCCTTGTTCCAGACTGAGATTTGTTTTTAAGGATTACAAACTATTGTCTTCCCTCTGTTGACTGCTGCAAAGATGAGGCTCCAACTATAGCATAATGGTTAACAACGTGACCCCTTGGCCTCACAGTTCCCGTATGAGGGAATTGTGGAGCCTGGACAATGACGCTGGGCAATGAGGCCCTAGGTGACCTGCCCTCCAGGGCCTGGTGTGTGGGAAAGAGTACACGTAAGCGTGTAAACTTGGACAAATTTCTGAAATACGGCACAAAAAGCCAACCAAAAACATCCACAAAACATTTTAAGAACAGAGGGAAGGGAATGGTCTTAGAAGTTTGCTGGGTTTTTTTAACTCCCCAAGAGAGATGGGAATCAGATGCATGTTTGAAGTGGAGGACCTAAATTCTGAGCATATCCACACCTCCTGGTCTCCTTCCCAAAGTAAGAGGAAACTGACAAAAAGGAAGTTTTGAAACAGTAATAATAACCACTGACTTGTACTTCCCAATAGCCAATACTCCTTAGAATTCAGTTGGGCCCTTTTTTTTTAATATCAGAAAAATATTTAAGCAGAAGCAAACTTTAAAATAATAAATAAACTCCTTTTATTCAAAAGTAGACTACTTGGGAATCTCTTTGACATAAATTATTGAATTCCTTATTTGCTCCCAAAGACATTTTTCCACTTTCAACCAGGACAGAAAGTTTTGAGAAGAGAAACCTGATAATTAATCTACTGTGCACAAGTTTTGAAATATCAAAATATTTATGGATTTTGCCATGGATGGCAAATTAGAAAATTGTTTCGTTCCATTTTTAAAAGGTAGAGTTTAGAAAATTGCCAAATATGACAAAAGCTTTCCCTCTGAATATTTGTTCTACTCCTTACTCTTCCACTAAATATTGATCTTAAGAGGATTTTGACATCTAAGAGTCTTTGAAAACAAAATTGAGAAAAGAAAATTCCAGCCCTTGCTTTCCTCTTTTTAAAACAAAGCACGAGGGGCTGGCCTGGTGGCGTAGTTCATGCACACCACTTTGGCAGCCCGTGGTTTGCTGGTTCGGATCCTGGTCACAGACCTACACACAGCTCATCAAGCCATGCCTTGGCTGACATCCCACATAGAAGAACTAAGAAGGACTTACAACTACGATATACAACTATGTACTGGGTCCTTGACAGGGGGTGGGAAGAGGAAGATTGGCAACAGATATTAGCTCAGGGCTAATCTTCCTCACCAAAAAGCACAACTTAAAGAAAAGAAGAAAGAATAAGGCACTAATTGACCAAGAAGGATTAAGTTGATGACATTGAAGACATCTTCTGGCTGGGTTAGGTTAGATTTCCTCTATCCCAGGAATGTCAGGAGTTGTCTCTTCTCTGAAGTCTACATGGCGATTTAGTTAAGCAGGAGAGTAAAACATTCATCCTAAGAACAGCAAGAGAAGTATATTTTTCTACATTTGATATTTGCTAGATTTTGTAAATTGCAAGACCTATCTGAGAGACTAGCAAGATGGAAGCTAAATTAAAGAAAGGCGCTAAAGAAAATCACTGTAAAGGATCAATCTTCTCATAAAAAATAAAAGAAATTATCCAGAGTGCAAAGGAAGAAAAGCATCTGGATGGGGAGAAATGGCTTTTCTAACAGCTGATGTTTCCTGGGCCCCTTATGATGTGCAAGACACTCCTGTGTGTGTGATGGGTCTGACCTTACAAGTTACAAACAACCTTGAGATGGAGGGAAATGGCAGATCCCACCTCTCAGATGAGGAGACCGAATGACCGGCATAAAGTCCTAGGGTTCAGCTACAGCCCAAGCCAAAGGAGGCGACTCTGCTGGGCCTCAGGCCCCAGCGTTGGCCCTTCCCTACTGCCACCACTACACCCAACTCCCAGGTGTACCTGCCACAACCTACTTTGCCCTGGCCTGGCGGACAGGAACACTGGGAATATGAGGGAAGGAGCAGAGCCCCCGTGCCAAGGAGACTTAGGTCTCCCTGACATCTGGTTCCAGGGCGTTCCTCGCATGGTCTCCATGGTGACTTCACTTGGCATTGCTTTCAATACTGTAAGAAATGGAGTCGAAATGTTTTTTGATGATTTCCAACAAGTGTGGCTCATATGAGACGAGATAATTCTCGTATTTGCATATGAGAGCCGTCTTCCAGCCCTAAAACATGCAAACAAAAACCAAAACTTTAGAACAGCTTATAAGATGCCCTTTGTGGAAGTACCAGAAGTAAAATGATGGATGGATGCATTCAATTAGTGTTTATTAAGAAGCCTCTATGTGCTAGGGAGGCACTGAACTAAATTTTCACCCACATTAATTCATTGAATCTCACAACAGCTTTATTAACTAGATTACTGTTTCTTCCCATTTTTATAGGTAAGAAATGAGAACCTCAGAGACTGAGAAAATGCCCAAGGTCACTTTGATATTGTGATTTATAAGAAATATATATCTAGCCATTCAGATGACCAAAATATATTTCTCATATACATTTGGTCTTTGTCCACGGTTCCTAGCTCACAGCTCCCAAAACCCTTGGAATTTCCTAAGCATCAAGAGTAACGGCAGCATCTTTTGCCATGATCTTTTGTCTCCTGTCCTCAGTTCTTGAAATCCCTTCAGAGTCATAACGATGAAATGGATGTCTTGTTATTCATAGTAAGCCCTTTTCCACCACAACTAGGTTTTTCTTAATGGAGTGCCTTTTGGAAGCACCCAGGGGTGGGGCTGGTTGCCAGGGGAACCAACTATGTGATTATAGGGTTGGAACTTTCAGTCCCACCCCCAAACATCTAGGGAGTGGAGAGGGACTGGAGGTTGAATTGGTCTTCAATGGCCAATGATTTAATTAATTATGCCTATGTAGTGAATCCTCCATAAAAACCCAAAAGGACAGGGTTCAGAGAGTTTCTGGGTTGGTGAACATGTGCAAATTTGGGGAGAACAGCGCCTGGAGAGGGCATGGAAGCTCCACGCCTTTCCCCATACCTTGCCCTCTGCGTCTCTCCCATCTGGCTGTTCTGAGTTATATCCTTTTATAATAGACAGTCAATCTAGTCAGCAAAAGGTTTCTCTGAGTCCTGTGAGCCTCTCTAGCAAATTAATGGAACCCAAGGAGGGAGGTGTTGGAACCCTCAATCTATAGCCAGTTAGTCAGAGAGTAGCGTCTAAGTGGGAGGAGGGGTAGGCTTCTGAGGCTGAGCCCTTAACCTGTAGGATCTGACACTCTCTGGGTAGATTGTGTCAAAACTGAGTTGAGTTGTAGGACACCCAGCTGGTGTTGGAGTATTGCTTGTGGTGTGGGAAACCCCTCAACTAATTGGAACTGGGTCTTAGAACCTGAAGAGTCACAGAGCTACTCAGAAAAGCAAACTTTGATCCCAGATCATTCTAGTCTCAAATGTCATTCTGCCACATCACAAGGCAACTAAGAAGGATGCATTTGGAAAGCTGGGCTCTTCCAGATAGCTCTGGAGGATTGCATGTTCTTTTTTCATTCAAAGGTTTGTCTTCCTAATATTCAGAAGTTCCCAATGAATAAGGAAGATTCCCGTAAGTGTGTGTACCTTGGTGAGCTCTAGTCAAGCACCAGTGAAGGGGAACTGAACAGTCCAATCTCTGGTGGGTTGTATTGGCTGATGCAACAGAATCATTTTGTTCTAATATTTGCACTCCCAGGAAAACAGGAAGGAAACAAGCTCCTAAGCCTTCTTTTGCCACACAAGCCATGGCTTGCAGCAATACCCCATCTACAATATGAGACGTTGAAATGTGGGCTTTAAAAAAAGATGTTTTCAATTGCATTTTATAGCCAAGTCATTACAAAATGTCCATTCCCTGAATAAAATGAAACTGGCGACTTCCTATTGGAAAATTTTGCACACCCTTGACCTTGTCCTCGGAGCTCAGAATTTGCAGAAGACTAAAACTGGCAGGAGCCATGAAGACATCTCATCTTGCCTTCCTGTTTCACAGGCTTTCAATTATTTACATCTCCTACACCTCTAATTTTGACCATGGCAAGTGATGTCTCCACATCTGCTTATATTTCAAGAAACATCTCTCCTACACGACTCCAGGAACATCTTCCTAGTAAACAAACCAGGTCAAGCCATTTCCAAACCTGAAACAAACCAAACCAAACCAAATTCAAACAAGACAAAACAGCACCTCTGACCACCCTGTGTTACGGGGAAGCCTGTTGTTTCTAGGCTGATACACGGCCTTGCCTCACAAAGTGAACCTCCTCTCCTTACATCCTTCTGCTTTCCTTCCTTCCTCTCCTGGCTGCGCAATGCTTAGTGCTAGTTTCTTGTCCTTCACCAAGCACCGTTGCATCTTTCATGTATCTGTGCCTTTACACACACTCTTTTCTCTGCCTAGATTGTCCTCCCCCTTTTATTGTACCCAGGAAATAATGAAATGCACAAAAGAATGATTCAGAGAACAGGGTCTCTGAGAGCTTTCCCATGTGCATTGACTTCAGGCTTTCCTCACATGCTTTCTAGGGCTGACCATGCATCTTTCTGCAGACCACACATGTGTATGTCTGATTCCTCCTGACTTGCTGTTTAATCAGTCACTTCTGGACCCTGAAGTAAAGTGCCACGGATCTTGGATCAAACATATTGATGAGAATGCATTCCTTTTTTTGAGTAAGGAAGCTTTAATTTTGATGTTGGGCTCTCACTCTTACTCTTATATTAGGCAAACTACTTAACAATATCAATCCCCATAATAACGTATTTCTCAAAGGGCTGTAGTAAGGATTAATGTTTGCAAACACTCGGCACTGTCTGGTACAAAGCAACTGCTCCATAAATAAGTGGTCAAGAACTTGGGCTCTGGGAGCAGAGCACAGCTGCCCAAACTGGAGTCCCTGCCACACAGTGGCTGTGTGAACTTGGCAAGTTAAACCCTTTGAGCCTCAGTTTTCCCATCTATTAAGTGAGAGTGAGATGGTTGTGCTTACCTTGGGATTATGCATGTTAGGTATGCTACGCTTGGAAGATCCTTGAGTAAGAGCTGCAGGATGCACAGTGCTTCTCAGTACAGATACTCCTCCATATGTTAATGCACTTCACCTTCACACAATTTGTGCTCGGTAATATTAACTCTTAGGAGCACCAATTGCTGCTGTCATCATTGTCATTGTCATCACCATCACCGTCATCATCACCTTTGTCGTCATCATCCTCATCCACATCAATGTCATTGTCGTCACAGTCACCATCATCATCACTATCATCATTATCATCATCATCATCACTAAACTGGGGTCATCATCGTCATCCGTCATCATCATCATTGTTGTCATCTTCTTCGTCATCCTCACACATTTCACACTGGCTCCTACTTGGCACACCCTTGTCTTGTCATTTCCACTCCTCACTTCATTATGACACTTTGGTAATGTGCTCACAGGTCCCTTAGAATCCAGCCTCTGCCCCCTCAGGCATGATAAGGACAGTTTGAAGGAAGCCTGCCCACTGTGCAGGACAACTCATGATGTCATTCCTTTGCATCTGGAGAGCTGGTTGGGCTCGTCATGTCTAGCCCACTCTCCCCAAAATCTCCCACAAAATACTAGTCTTATGAGATGTTCTGATAATTAAAAAAAGAGAATCTATGCTGTGGTCAAAAATTTGAGAAACAGCATGTTATATGTTTCTCTTGAGATATTGTCATGCATTTTAGCATATTAAAGGACTGGAGAAATGATACAGTAAAAAACTACATTCACTAATTAATATATTTAACTAAAATAAATCTATTAATCTGTATAATCAAGTATTTCTTAAGTCTATGACTTTGGAAACTTTCCCTGTGTGTGTATGTGTGTGCTATGCAACAGGAAGGGCTGTGCTACGTGCCTCCTTCTCTCCACATATTCACAGGTGTGTACATACACGTGTGTCATGTGCTATGTCTTCTCCTTTCTGTGTGTGCGCATTCACGTACGTATGTGCATGCTTACTAAGCCATGCAAAGGTGTGTTGTATGCCTTCTTTCTTTGTGTGCATGTGTGTACAAGTGTGTGTATGCACTAAGGAATGAATGGGAAGAGTGTAATACATGCCTTCTTTCGATGTATGCATGTGGGTGTGTGTACATGTGCTATGCTACATGCTTTGTCCTTTCTGTGTGTGAATGTGCCTGTGTGTGTGTGTCTCTTCTAAGCAATGAGAAAGATGGACTGAAAGCTTTCTTCTGCATGAAATTTCTCCCACCCTAATCTTCTTGTCTGAATTTCAAGCCCCTTTCCTTTCTCTAATTATTGGTCATCAACATTTCTCTCTCTTTCATACTTTTCTTCTACCCTATAAGAAAAAGAAAAGTCCCAGAAGGTATGATGGGGAGAAGACATTGTATGCCCACCCATTTGTTTTCATTGGCTCTGTTTCTACTCTGTGGGGCTGAGCTGGTGCCAGTGCTGTTGCTGAACTCAACACCAGGTCCAACTGACCTGCCCCTATGCCCCTTGTCCATTTAAAATCTCCTGAAATCTTCCCCTCCTGGGAAAATGCATGCAGCACACACTCATACACACTCACACTTACATCTATGTCCTTAGGCCCTTACACTCCAGTCCCTGGACCACAGGTTTAGACACATGTTTCAGAAGGACAGCAACTGCCTTGTTAGTCCCTGAATCCTCAGTGGTAGCACAGGGCCTGGCAGAGAGTAGGTGCCCAATAAATGTTGAAGGAATAAACAATTTCATCAGGATGGCTCAACACGGATCCATTTCTCTTCAAGACCACATGGCATGTTTCTTGTTCAGCAGCATGTTTAGCTGCAAAAGACAAACTTGTCCCAATTGCCCTGATACCTCCTAGTCTCCTTTCTCTTAGCCTCTTTCAAAAATGCTATTATTCTCATAAATTCATCCAGCTTTCCTCTATAAATTAAGTCTCCACCATCTAGGGTCAGTATGTACAGTTGTACAGGTTGTGCACTGTTATTGTACAGAAAGTCTGGCCAAGAAGGAGAGCAAGAGCTGAAATCCCAGCTTGCATATTGGGGAAGGGCAGGCTCTGCTTTGAGGAAGAAGCGTCATTTGCTTGCAATTATGTGCTTGCCAGAGGGGATGCTTTTTGTAATTCACACAAAGAAGCCATGTGGATGAGCCATGGGCCTCCAACAGCTCCATGAATCCCTGGGGTACTTTTCTCCAAAGTCTAGGTCAAGAGTTGAGGGAGACGGACATATGCCACTTTTTCATTATGACTTACTATGTGGATCACAATGGGAAAACATTCCGGAAAGAACACGAGCAACAGACATTGGATTTGACTAGACTTAGACAGTCTGAGTCTCACAAAATTCTTTCTGCACTGACCACAGGGTGGTTGAGATGTGGATGTGTGTCGAAGACAGAGAGCCTGTGAGGAATGAAGAAGAAACCAGGAGCCGGGGTTGAGGTGCCGGTGCACGTGCGGCCCCAGTGGACAGAGTCAGTGGGCGTCTGAAGTTCTCACCCTCCTCCTTACCAGGAGCCCATCATGTCTGCAAGATCTTTTTTTCTAAGTGAAGAGTCCTTCTGCCCTTTTGCCCACTACCCCTGCTTCCCTGATGTGGAGGTCTTTCCCCCAGTGATGGAGTCTCTGGGGCCCTTGTCCTAAAGCAACTGCCATGGCCCGCAGGTATGAGCTCATCCCTATTCAATGGCCCTCGTCTCAGATGGCTGATCAGGAGATGGTGCTGACTGCGCGTCTCACCCTCTGCCCTGGAAAGTTCCCTCTCAGGGGTGACCCACCAGGAATGCCTTATTGTTAACTGTGCCAGTTAATATTCACGAAACGCTCACTGTGCTCCAGGCATTGAATCAGCCGCTTTACTTGCATTGTTTCTTCATCTGTCACCACGACCCTCCAGGAAGTTACTTATCTCTCTACCTCAGTTTTCTCTTCTATAAAAGAAAAAACAAATCACCTATGCTGTAGGAGTGTTGTTATAATGAGAAATGCTGCGTAAAATACTCAGCAGGGTGCCCGAGTGTCCTGAGCACTCGGTCGGTCCCCTTTGCTGTGACAGCTGTCCTCTGGAAAGAGGTAAACGGTAGTGCAGACATTTAGGCCATAGTCAACCAACAGCGAAAAATTGTTCAACATCGCAAGTTAGGTTGAAATGATTTTTTTCATATTCTGCCCATTGGCCAAATCCTACTTGCTGGGTTAACTTTTGAAACTTAGAACAAATTGTCATCTAGTAAGTTATAATGACCTCAGCTTGAGTGTGTTTCCTGCTGTTAGTTCACTCGGAATGTTCTGGGCTGTGTGTCAAATGCGTTCTCATTGTGCGACTGCCAGAGGGGAAAAGCGCCCATTGTCTTGGCTATTGCTACTTTTATTTAAATTGCGGTCCAACTTTTAGAAAATCTTGATGGTCATAAATGTGAAATGGTGGGTAAAGTACTTTTGAAAAAGAATATATGGTTTTCATTTAAAAAAAGTAGGACATGTTCATAGGAGCGAATTTTGGAGACAAAAACTGTAAAAGAGAAGACAAATTCTACATAGGCCTTTTTCTAAACACAACCACCTTTAATTTTTTGGTGAATTTTTAAAATCAAGCCATACAGACAGATATGCAGATAGACAACAGATAGAAAAACAGGTTGAGTATACATGCGTACATATATGCACATACGAATGAGTGAATACATATATGACGTGTTATATGTAATTGGAGATATGCATTGTACGTGTTGCCAATGTGATGTGTGTGTATATATGCACATATAAGTGCAAATGACTGGCTATCTGGAGATAAATATAGATACACGGATATACTCTGATATGTGAATATATTCACTGATATGCGAATCTGCCTTTTTAAGCCTACCACTCTAGCAAAACCTGTTTTCTAGCTTATAATGTTTTTCACTGTTATCATTTTAATAACATCAATAATAATAAATACAATAACCCTGAATGGCATCATAATATTTCATAGATTGGCAAATCACCGTTCTAATAACACTTCTAGAATTGGAGCTTGAGTTTGTTTCTCAGTGTTTGTATAAAGATCGCAGGAGTAACAGCTTCTGCACAGTGGTTTATTAATTGTTTCTCTCTTTAGGACTTATTTCTGGAATGTGAATGGCTGAATCAAGGACCATGGACACTGAGGAGGATTCGAAATACATCATAATAAACATCATTTCATTGTTTATTTCAGTGTTTCTAATATTTTTATTAATATTCCTACTAGTATATTTACCCTTCATTTCTCTGTATTCTCCCAATGCAGCTACTACAACCTTCAAATGAGAATGTTTTTATACTGAAACATTAATAATACACATTCTGTAGGTTTGAAATGTAGCAAAGAGTGGAGTTAAGTAACCAAGAAAGGCTTATTGTTAAACCGTCTCATGCAGGCCACTTCTGCACATTAGACAAGAACACTAAGGTATGTTGTGGCCATTGCTCCTTCAATCAAGGAGATTACAGTCCTGGAGAAGGGTACCACATGGCTGCCTCCACAGCAGAGGAGAAGAGGGGCTCTCCCTTCAAGCAAGGAGGACCAGAGAATATGCCTCAAAAGAATTGAGATGCGAATGGTGGGTTTTCAAAGACTGAAAAACGTGGCAAGAAGAGCAGTTGCCTGCAGGAAAGTTCCTGGGGAGCAGGGCCCAGCCAGCCGAGGAGCAGGAGGGAGGTTAGACGGGGGCCCGACACGCCCAGGCTGAGGTGCGGGACTCTGTCGTGTGGACCACACAGAGCCTTGGAAGGAGCGTGAGAAGGGCAGGGAGGGCGCCCTTGAGTCTTAGGGGCTTTCAAAAAGGTGCTGTGAGTGGTCAAGGGGGAATTCCTGTGGGGGAGATGTCGCATGACTGTGAAAGTACAATGGCTACAGGACAAGGTTGACTGAGAGAGGGTCAGTGGCCATAGAAACAATATTTTTACCCTCTGCATAGACATGGGTCTCCCTAATGTGATGCTTCCACACAACCTTAGCTACAGGGGGCCCTAAGAACCCGCAGAAACCCGCGATCTCCTGCTTCCCTAATCAGACCAGCCGTGCTCGCCAACATGGGGTTGACGGGCTACCCAGTGAGAGTCGTGTTTAGCGCATTAAGAACAGCAACCCCAACCCCAAAACCGGGACCTCAGTCATTGCTGTGACCAGCCCTGCAGGCCAATCTCTGTGCTGGAGAGGCAGGTAACAGAGCATCCCCAAGAAAAAGAGGACATTCTCTTCTAAGGGAAGCCGCTCAGCAGGGGACCTGAAGAGGCCGTGGCAGCCAGAGCAGCAGCTCCAAGAAAGAGAAGTTCCACAAGTCACCCTATAAAGTGAGAATGGCAAGGCCCTGGGGGGAACAGCCCATCTCCTGTACCCCAACAGAAACAAAATACACCAAAATAAATAATAAATGTGGCCAAAGGAAAGAGGCCAGAAAAGATAACTGCAATGACTGTTACAGCCGCTTCTTTCCTGAGCAAGCTTGTATTTCTGCAGCAGGACATTAATGGCGTCCTGACTCCTTCAAAACAGCCAGAACGCTCGCTAACACATTCCCCAGGAAGCGGGAGGTGCATGGTGCGCAGCGTGCTTTTTAGAGATGACCAAGTTTATGACAACACTGCCACTAGGATTTCTCAAGGAGCCCCTTGGAGACGGCCGTGGGGTGTCAGGAGGGGCTGCTGCTGTCCACCTCCAAGAGGGTGTAATCAAGAGTCAGAACTCCGAAGCACAACGAGGCAATAGGAGGTCGTGTTTTCTTCACAGGAAGGCATGAATGTTGTAGCACGGGGAGTAACTACAACGGAACTATTTGCAGGTAAGAAAGGAGTGACTTTGGTAGCTGGACCCGAGGTGTAGTGGCAAGCCATGCTGTGATGACTTCCCATTTACAAAATAGAGGAAGATTGGCACAGATATTAGCTCAGGGACAATCCTCCTCAAGTAAAAAGAGGAAGATTGGCAACAGATGTTGGCTCAGGGCCAATCTTCTTCTTCTTCAAAAAAGGAGTCACTTTGAGTTATTTCCAGATCTGGAAAAGTTTTCTTGCTATCAAAAACCTGGTACCCACAGTGGCACCTGAACCACAGTGCCCTGCATTGATGGGGCCTGGGCTGTGGCCTGTTCTCTGCACTTGGTCCCAGGGGAGGGCTGTGCTTGTCCACTGATGTGTCTGTGGATATTTGTCGACAGAGTGAGCAAGCGGATGGCCAGGCAGTCAGTCCTGAGTCCCTTTCTCTGCTGTGCAGAGAGGTGGGAGGGCCTTGTGGCTGGATGTTTCACAGACTTTGCATGAGAGAGGAAACGAGTGTCTGCAAGGCACAAGGTTCTAGCCTTTAGCTAATCGGAGAAGGAAGAGCTAAAGAACTAGATTTTTTTATGAGCAGTGGTGGGAAAATGGAGAACATGTAGAAAATTCTACAGTGCCCACAATAAGATAGTGATCTGTCTAGTGGGGATCCAGCATTGTGCATCTGCCTGGAAAGCTCCAGAAGAGAACCTGAGATGACCCAGAAGAAAAGGCATAACATGGAGAATTCAGACAGAAACACAAAGTGGATACACCCATTCCTCTGATATGCTATGTAGACATATATACACACATGCAAACAGCATGCATGCATACACACATACAAATATGCACGCACATACAAACATGCATGCATGCATACAAGCACACACACAGCACAGACATACAAACACACATAGACATGCATACAAACACATACATGCATATATATGTATATATAGTTTATTCTATAGTTTGCCTTCAGTTCTTTTCAACTAATTCTTTCTGTAGTCTGAAAAAATCTAAGGTTAAAAGCAAGTAGAAATTAAAATTCTTGAACACTTAGAGGTGTTACTGAGGAAAGGGACCTGAATTTGGGGCTCCAAGTGACCAGGAGGGAGGAGTCAGACGTCTCTGAAGGAAGAGCAGGGGCGGCGTGGCTCACAGCCTGTTCGACCAGGATCAAGACGTTCAGATAACTGGTGCTCCTCAGACATAGGCTGGGAACGATACTGTTAACATGGCCTTCAGAGTTCATACGGTCTCCATCTGACACCAGTGCAGACCAGTGGTAGCTGTGACTTGGGGGGCACCTGCTGTGGAGGGTGGGATCGGTCGGCTCAAGCCGGTGTCCCAGTTCTGCCGCTCTGGGTCGCGTGACCTTAGGCTCCCTGCTGAGCGGTGTTCCTGTGTAGCACACTTTCACTTGTAAGATGGGGTGAGCGTATTTCACTTGGCTGTCTGAAAGCAGATAAGGCAATTAGTAGACTTGCTCTATACAGTGTAATGATTTTGAGCAATCACTCAATTATGCGTCTTTGATGTGTCAACATGCTTTGGGCATTTTTGTATCAAGCACCACGTCAGTTATATTTATAAATAATCACACAAAGAAAGCCTCTGGAATAAACTATCACCATACAAAGGAAATACTCAGCACAAAACGTAGGATAGGATACAGTCTGCTTTATCATCAAATTCCCATTTCCCCGAGAAAATAAGAGACAGCAAGCCTGCGACCGGAGCAGGGTGCCACAAGGATAACTAGTGACATGACAAGGCCCCCGTCCCAAAGTCTTGCCTTTGACATGCTGGCCAGTGCTCTCTTGACCAGACTGTCCAGTTTTCTGCTTCCCAGAAACCCTCCAGGGGGCAGAGGCAGATGCCAAAGGTCACAGAAGAGCATATGAGAAAATAAACACAGCAGGGTCTCTGGGCTTGCGTGCTCCCCTCCAGGCCCTGCAGCGGACGTGCAGCCTCCCTGGCTCTGAGGAGTTCACCATGAAGGGCAGGAGGAAGGACGGAGAAGATTGCATAAAAGCATTTTAGCTCTGGCTCTTTCCCTCCAATTCCTATGAGAAATAAACCCAAATCATACTTCAAGTAGGGCGTCATATCATTTAAGTGGATGCAATGATGCAACATTTACTATGGCTGCAGTCTATCCAGTTGCCCCAGGATAAGGGCCCTGAGACACAAACTCCCACAAAATGCTCACGGGTTGTGAGAAGCATCAGAGTGGAATCCAGGCAGCAGCTCCTAGAGCTGTGCTCTCTCCATCCCGCTCCAGAGTTTGGATCCTGGACTCTTCATCTTACTTGCCACCTCATCTTCCCAAGCCTGTTTCCTCACCTTTAAGATGAAGATGATAATCACAGTAACCCTGAGGAATAAATGAGACGACACAGAAAAAGTGCCTGGATCCCAGTAGCACTCAGTGTGTAACCCGTCATCCTTATTGCTGAATATTGCCTGCCTGGGAGTAAGGCAGAGTTGGCTGGGAAACCCCAGATATCAGAGAAACCGCATCAATCCTAAATATAAGGACCAGTGCAAGATCGAGTTCAGGAGTCACAGAGATGAGATCTACACTAAGGAAGATGTGAAAACAGAAAGAGAATTTTGAACACACGTGGAAAAGCAAGGGTCTGGAACACGATGGCATGTCAGTGTACCGTATGCTGGAATTATGATCCAGCTTAAAGTTTCTGAGGCAGAGGGAGGGGAACCCTCCAGACCCTCGACCCATCTTCAGTGGTATTCGGTTACTGAATTGCTTCATAACAGAAAAGGTTGCTAAGATGCTCATAATCAGAAAGAAAACTCTGTACCAAAATTTGAGGCAGAATATACACTGCTACCTGCAAACTTCAGCTGGCTTGGGATGGGGAAGAAGAGAGTAGCAGCGAGTGGTCCGTGAATCTAAGATGCTTTTGCTGATAAAAGAGGCTCCCACGTTGCACGCTTCTCACTACACAGGCAGATGAGCTCTTGGCCTTCTTGTCTGGTGTTGCTGCACTCTGCTGATTTCTTGCAAATTCTTGCATGCTTGGATGACAAAGGGGAAGGCCAGTCAGAGGCCAGGACTAGATATGAGGGCAAGAATAGGCATAACAATGACACAGACTCCTCAAGCTCCTCTCGGAATCAAGAAACGTATTAAATCCACCTTAAAATATATATTCGGACAGGCAAGATATTAGGTCCAGAATGTGGAAGCCAAAGTGGGGGGAGAAAACCAACAAATGGGCTCAGCTCACAGGCTGGACAGCACAGGGTGCGGGTCTGAGGAAGGCAGCCAGCACACTCCGGAGCACATGAGTCCTGTGTGCGCTCTGCAACTGGCACAAAGGGACACGCAGATCTTTTTACTGTTGTATGTGTAAATGTTAATGATTTTTATTTTATTTTATTTTA